CTTGATTAGGGTACCTATTTTAAACCTCTGCATCCCAAGGCTCAGAGATCATTGCAGAAGAGGTGGTGGGAAGACTGTAAGAGCCAGAGGGAGTTGACCAAAAGAAAACAGTTTTATAGACAGCTGGTCAGTTACACATATGAACTCACAGCAATGGTGACAGCATGTGCAAGTCCTATGCAAGCTCAAGAAGACAGAAAAACAGCATAGAACTGGGGAAATGGACAGCAGACCACAATCTTAGTAGAAGAAATATTGGCAACTGATTACTGCTGGGTGAGGAAGAGCTGATTTTCCTAAGTGAAGGACTCTAGATAGGCCAACTAGACCTCAGTAGATGAACTTGCACTGAAGACTGTGTGGGGACACTAACTTGACATGATAGGCCTTAACACAAATGATAGAATGTATGAATTCCAGTGGGGGGGGTCTATGGGAAGAGGCTAATGGGTAAGCGGATATAAAGATGATTAAGATGTTCTGTATGAAATATACAAAAATTCAATAATAATTTTAAAAAATAGTGTCTGTGTGTGAAGGAGCCCTGGAACCTGTGGTGGACTAGGGAGGTGCTCTTTGTTCCTCCGCAATACTAGCAATTAAAAATCCTACCATCAATCTTAAAAACTCCTTCCAGGGCTGGAGAGATGACTCAGTGGTTAAGAGCTCTTGCAGAGGACCCAGATTCTGTTTCTAGTACCCACACAGCAGCTGCCAACCATCCTTAACTCCAATTCCAGGGGATCTGACGCCCTCTTCTGACCTTCATGGGGACTGTAAGACATGGGTACACTTACATACATGCAGGCAATAATACACTCATACACATAAAAATAATAAATTATTTTATGAAAAACTCCTCCCCCAGGCAGTGAATTGAAGCATTGGGCAGATAGGGTTTCTCACTCGATGCCTGCTTCCATCAGGCTTTATTCTATACAATATCTAACAAGCAGATAAGGTTGACACTCAGAGAGGAAAATCCACACCGAAGAAGTTCAGGATAGGTGAGAAGTCCCCTTGATGGGGGAGCTGACTTGAAACAGCCCCTGTAATTGATGCATTTAAATATGACATAGCTCCTTGGAGTTACTTCTGGTTGTAATGATGCTATAAAGAGATTGGATGAGCTCCAAGTAATGGCTTTCTAACAGTCACACTCAGAGGATAAGAACCCATCCCACAAAATGAAGTCACAGCCTCCCAGCAGCTAGCCCAGCCAGTGGTGCTTCCCAATACCACCAAATGCCACACTGACCAGAGAACTGCCACAGTAATAAAGTAAGGCATCCTGCTGGTTATGTGTGAATGATCTGCTGTCATGATTCCTGAAACACTGGATGAAAGAAAGGACCTTGACTTATGATCAAGGACCCTGAATTCTAATCCAGTTCGACTACAAACCGGTATGGTACCCTGGCAGGTTCGTTAACATCTCTGTCCTCAGTTCCCCTTCTATAAAGCTAAGACTATTGTATCTCTCCCACTGCAGTGCGAAGGCCAAGTGTAATGGGCAGTCTGTTCACTTTCTACCTCCCCCTTTGTGTGACTATGTTTTAAACTTTGGGTTTCTGAAAAGACACTCGGTTCATAACAGATGAAGCTCGAACTGCAAATTCGTTCATCATTTTGATGGCATTTGAAATAATAAACGTAAATTGGTTCATATTCAAAACCAGAGAGTGCACTATGAGTCACGTAGAGCCCTGTGAGATTCAAGTTACTTTGCGTGGTAGAACTTCTTGAATTAGATGGGAGAGCTCTTAAGAGCCAACACATCAAAGATAAGCCACAAGAAACACAAAACTATTCAGAGTTTGAAAAGGAAATCTCCAGAAGATTTCAAAACCTTGTCTGTGGCTTTAACAAATGCACTCTAAATAACATTTAGCCAACCCCACCTCCCTCACCCAAGAACTCCCAACATGGCTCTGAGCATACTGAGCCACCACCTGCTAGTGACAATAATGGTATGTGTAGAACTGTGGCTTGATTGACCCAGTGCCCACTTTTACAAATGAGAAAGATAAGCCTGGAGAAGTTTAGACCCAAGCCACACAGCTTGCTAGAGACCACGTCAGGATGGTCTCCTGACTTTCTACCATCCCATGCTGTGTTTTAGGAACTGCCAATCTTCCAATGGCCATCCTGACAAAATACTACTAATCCTAACCCCAGCACATTTCTGAAGTATCTATCAGGAAATTTGCTCACAGATTTTTATGATACATGTCTTGGATGCCATATTTACTCACGCCAACCACACTCAAGTGGGTGTACACTAAAAGCTTGTTTTCTTAGCTTTTCTATAACTTTTTGGAGGAGGGTGCCTGAGTGTGTGCACACTCATGCACACTCATGCACATGCATGTGGAGGTCAGGGGACAATTTCAGTGTTCTTCCTTGGCTGCTGTCTATCTTGCTTTTTGAGGCAGGGTCTCTAGAACTTCAAGCAGGCTAGGCTAGCAGGTTCCTAGGATCTGTCTGTTTCCATCGCCCAGCTCGCTATTAGTGGGACTGCAGGCACCAGCTGTGCTGCCCTGACCAGCTTTTTACATGAGTTCTGGGAATGCAACTCAGGTCCTCATACTTGTAAGACAAAACACTTTGCCAACTGAACCATCTCACCAGTCCTTAACTCTTCACATTTAAAAGTCTTCATAGGGACAAGAGGTAGTTCAGCCGTTAAGAGGACTGGCTGCTTGTGCTGGACGAAGGGAACCTCAACTGAGGAATTTCCTCCATTGGACTGGCTTGAGTTCCTACCTTGGGCTCCCTGATGAACTGTAACCTGGGAGATATAAGCCAAATAAACCCTTTCCTCCCCAAGTTGGTAGTGGTTCAGAGTGTTTTGTCACTGCAATTGAATGCAAACTAGAACACTGCCCTTGCAGAGGACCCAGGTTTGGTTCCCAGCTCCCACATGGCAGCTAACAGCCACCTGTAAGTCCAGCTGTTGGGAGCTGCTAATCATTGAGCTGTGGCAGCCTTGTTTACTGAGTTTGTGTCATGCAAACCAGTACTTAACCTCCCCATTCAGGAGGAAGGTGTTTCTGGAGAGCCTCACAATACCTGACCTTGAGGCAATAGTGGTAAACAAAAAGATTAAGGAAGCCTTTGATCTGACCCTCCCTGACCCTCAGATACAGGTGGGGAAATACAGCAGTTGTAACTAATTGAGTTCTTCTGTATAAAAAGGCAGAGCTGAAATAAACCGGGGCTGCCGTATTCGTATTCACTGTGAGTCCTCCCAAGCATCTTTTCTGTCTCCTTTCCTTTCTTTCAATCCTCACTCCCCCTTTCAGGTACTGTCCGTTTTGGCTGGCTAGCACCGGCATCCAGCTCCAGGGAATCTGACACCCTCTTCTGATCTCCGTGAGCACTGCATGACACGGGTGCACTTATGTACATGGAGTCAATACACTCATACATAAAATAAAAATAATAAAAAATTTAAGTCTTCAAAAATCAGGTGTTTATAGTCCTTTGGTTCAGCTGTGAAGCAAGCACTAAACGGCCCCTCAGAATGGAATCCCACCTTACAACTGCAGCTCTGCGAGGCACCCATGAGAGCACCCCATCTTTCCAAGGCCCCACCCTAGTCATTCTAACAGTGGAGCCCCTGACCAGGTAACTACAGCTTAGAAAGTGGGCCCCAGCACAGCCAGGGATAGAGCAGAAGTTAAAAGGCCACACACACACACTACTCAGTGGGCTTCAGTGGATTTCATCCCTACAACACTTGGCACTGGGCCCAGTGCACTGTACTACCACACTGACACATGGCCCTAAAGGAAAGGACAGCTTTAGCAAGCTACAGCCCAACTCTAGACATGAGGTCACTAAGCACCACCAACAATGACCCAGAGGGCACTCCACCTCCTGATCCAGTGTTTTCCTCCTCATCCAAACAAGTGTTTTGAACAAAAACTCAAATACAAATTTTTTTTTCTCCATTTACCTGAGCACATTCAATCATCTTGCCAAAATCAAGTCGAGCTCTGGTTATAGACAAAAGTCAGTAGCATGCTTCATCCCCATGAGCTCTGACTCCTCTGAAGTGGTTGCTTAGCCGACTTGTAAAAAGGCCCAAACCCAGAGTCCCCGTACTCCTAGCATAGGAAGAACAGAACCAGACCTAAGTTAGGGTCTGGGTGAGGGAATCTGACCTTCACAGAGACTGCTGACCAATGACACCCAACAAAGTTTGAGGACTGTCTCCACCCCAGACCCCAGCAGCCACCAGTTACCCTGGGGAAGGCAGCATCCCCTCTGTAAGGCTTGTGGTCTCCTCATCACTTTGCCTTTCTGTGCTTTACTAGCAGGAAAGACCATAAACTCTTAATCCAGTACCCCAGCTTTCCCAACTTCTCTTAAATTGCTACTCTTTGTCCCCGATGTTAGCAATTTTACCAAAATTATTGCCCGGGATAGCCTCGACCTTTGTCCCTTGCGTTTCAGATAGTCATTGGGGCGACTGGAAAAAGTTGCGCTGCCTTCAAACTTGGATTCCCCCTCTCCAGTGTCCCCTAGAGACAAACCAATCCAGACCTGCCAAAGTGGCCCGCCCTGGGCCCAGAGGCAAAAGTTTCCAGCCAGTGGCGACCCATCACAATCTCCAACCACTGCGCCAACACAGGACGATGATAACGCGCGGTTTCGTTTGATGCTTAGATTGCCAGCAGGTGGGGGGTGGGCGGGGGGAGGGGGCGGGAAGCCTCTGTAATTTGGCTTCTGGGAAAGTTTTCCCTGTCACCTGAAACCAAAGCGTCTCCCAGTCAACTCTCTTACGTAGGGAAGAATGCGAAAGCCCCCCACCCCCACCCCGGGTATTCAAGCAGCACTTGACCGCGTGGCTCCCCAAAGGTGGCCAACCGGGTCTCCAAGCCGTCCTCTGCCTGCACCGACCTAGTCTGGAGAGCACTTTTCCCACGCCGGCGGTGCGCAGGCAGCACCGTCCGGTCCCTCCGGCTTCCCGCAGCGGGATCGAGCCACCTTACCTCGCTGACGATGGTGTGGTGCGTCTGGACGTAGCGCCAGTCTCCGCTGCAGGGCACCACCGGCGCGGAGCGGTTGGGGAAGGCGGCGAGCGGGTCTGCGCAGCCGAGCGCGGTGCTGGCGTTGGCCGCCTCCAGCAGATAGCGCTGGCACTGGCCGTGGCCGCGGCGCTCGGGGGCTGCGCGGGGCGCGGGCGCGGTGCGGTTCCGCTCCTCCTCGGGGCTCCAGGCGCAGCGCTCGGCCAGCGCGGCGGCGCTCGGCCCCCGGCACCAGTAGTAGTCGGGCTGGCTGCCCAGGAAAACCACGCTGACGAAGAGGAAGGCGAAGGTGACGCCGGTCAGGCACAGCAGCAGGAACACGCGCCGCTGGAAGCGCCCGAACTCGCCCGCCTTCCGCAGCGCCTGGTCGAACGTGGGCATGGTGCGCCCCGGCGTCCTGCCGCCCGGCCAGCGAGTGACCGCGGGCGCCTTTTTTTGCGCCGCCCGCCCTGGCACCCCGCCCCGGACCGCCGCTGCTCCCGCCCCGAGCTCCCCGCCTCCCGCCGGGGGCGCCCAGGGCCCGGGACCCGGAGCCTGCAGCCCGCCCAGGGACGGTCGCCCTGGGTCGGGCGGAGGAGACGGATCCAGGATCCCCCAGCCTGGCCCTGACTCTCCGTGGTCCCCAAGGCGCAGGTGGGGACCGAGGGCGCGCGGAGACCCGGGGGACTCCTCCCGCGCTCAGCTGCACCCGCAGAGGCTGCTCTGCGCCGCGGTGCCCCGGTGTCCAGCTCCGGGAACAGGGCTTCACACCTGCCTCTGCGTCTGCACGCCCACAGCCGCGGGGCTGGATGTGGCACCCGGGCAGATGAACTTGCAGGACAGCTGGGCAGTTCTGGGGTTGAGCGCCTCGCTCAGTACTGAAATTCAAGGCGAGAAGGACCACCTCTCCGCGAGGGCTTTTCCATCCCCTCGCAGCCTGGCTCCCTGGAAAATGAGGTTGCTTAGTTAGTGTCAATCTATCGTGACATCTTCTTGGTCTTCCACCCCGGCCCCCAAGAGCTGCATAGCCTTCGGGATGCAAAGCCAGTGTGGCCCTCACCCTGACCTGACCGGTTACCTCCAGCTTCATGGGCGAAGACCACCGCATGTAGGACAGCGCGCTGCCTACTCGGCCAGCCTTGGCCCACATATTCGAAGTTCTGCCCACTCTTTTCCCTGCTCTCACCCAGGCCTTTAGCTTACTTTCTCAAGGCTCAGAAAGACCACCGACCTAGTTTTCCTTTCCGCCAGAAAGAACTCCGGAGCGCCTCAGCTCATCCCCTCACCTGCATCTAACCCCGAGCAATTAATTGGCCAGACTCAGTTTTTCCATCAGTTAAATGAGTAGAGCAACACACCTACTTCATAGGGTTAGCCCTATGAAGACTGAGTGGTTTAACAGGTGGATCACACCAGAAAAGTGTTCACATTGTAAGCATGAAGGGACTCACTGAATTTTTTTTTTTAAAAACTAGCTAGGTATTATTTATCTTCTCTCTCTCTCTCTCTCTCTCTCTCTCTCTCTCTCTAACACACCCACATACTCTGCAGTGACTTCTATGTCTCCAGATCTCATACCCTGGTGTCTACTGTCTCTCCTCGCCACCCCCTCCTCCTGAGCTGCCTTTTGCTGAGCCCCAGACTCTGATCTCTGTAACCTTCCAGTACCCTTTACTCCTCAAACTGCCACTGAAATGGCACCTGAGGTGCCACCCAGCCCCTTCTCCACACAAGCACATCCCCAGCTCCCTTTCCTGTCTGGTTTCCAAAAACCCTCATCACCAGCTCATATCTGTATGTTGTGTGTGTTTGTGTGTACATGTGTTCATGGATGCACACCAAATACTATCTACTATGTACAAAAGGATAGAGAAGACCCCCAATGGCCCTGAGCCCACTTCCCAGGCTCATCTTCAAAAGGGAGGGTTCTTGTCTTCCTGTGGAAAAAAGAGAAGAGATGAGGGGGTTGGATCTGGAGAGTAAGAAATTCAGTGTGTAATGTGCTGTATCTCTCTAAAACACAATAAGATGACTGTCAATTCTGGGTGTGGGTATTATCTTTATCAATAGTGGACTCATGCCCATTGGGGCCCAGGTCCCAGAGCATGTCAGGGATGGGGTGCAAGGGTGAGAATGACGGGTTTCCAGTCAGCACAACCCAATGGCTTAGGAAGAGGGGAGCAGAGTTGGACTTCCAAGGCCCCAGGTCTCTTGCTGTAATTAATATGAATTAAAAAAATATTTTATTATTTTTATTTTATGTGTAAGAGTGTATTGTCTGCATGTATGTGAGTCCACCCATGCCATGCAATGCCACAGAGGTCAGAAGAGAGCTTCAGATTCCCTGGAACTGAAGTTAAGGACGGTTCATAGCTGCCATGTGGGTGCTGGGAATCGAACCGAGGTCCTCTGCAAGAGCAGGAAGTGCTCTTAACCACTGAGCCATCTCTTTAGCCCCTAATATGAATTTTTTAACCATATTTTCTCTTCTACATCTTAATCCTTTGTACACAGTAGATAGTATGTATGTGGAGTGCTTTGACGATTTATTCAAGTGGCACCATAGTCTAAGGATTTCTCTGTCACTTCTTATTTTCACTCTACAGTGTGTTTTTGAAGCCTATGAACCTTGCTACTTGTCATTCCAGTGACTAGTTATGGCTTCCTTTCCTTTATCCACGGGGTAGTCAGCTGGCCTTAAGTTTACCGGTTGTGCTGCTCACTCACTCCACTTGGTTATTGTACCTCCCCTGGATGTGTGTGCAGTAACTGATTTAAGGCAACCTCCTAGAAGTAGCTATCAACAATGTACAGTATGGGCATTTTGACTCCTAGACTTTGCCAAATTGCCTTCCAGAGAGGTGGCCCCAAGTTCCATTCCACCAGCAACATGTGAGATTATCCACATCCGTGCCAGCACTTGATCTCATTAGACTCAAACGTTGAAGCAGATTGTATGAATATAAAAAGACTTCTCATCGCTCTGTTCACACCCAAGTTGATCAGGCTGCATGCATTTTAGTCCTGAACTCATCGCTCACATTTCGTCTTCAAGCTGCATCCTCCCGTCCTCTGCTTGGGTTCGCTTTGTTACTTGGAGACTTGTTAGATGTGGGGGAGGTTAACTGTATATTTGTGTATTTTGCTCCTTTATCAGTTCTGCGTGTACAGGCTCTCAATCTGTTTCTTGGTGTCCTAATGTCTCTGGAACTACAGAAAGTTTCAATTTGGATGTAGTGCAGTAGACATGTTTCATAACTTCTTTTTGTATCTTCCTGTAAAAATAATGCTTTACTAAGATTTATTGTATTTTATGATTTTTGTTGTTGTTGTTTTGTGAGACAGGGTCTCACTATGTAGCCCCAGCTGACCTGGAACTCGCTATGTAGACCAGGCTGACCTCAAGCTCACAGAGATCCACCTGCTTCTGCCTCCCAAGTACTGAGATTAAAGGTATGCGCCACCACGCCCCATGATGCTTTACTAAGATTCACAGATGCTTTCTCATAGTCGTATATTTACATACACACATACATAGCTTGGTGCTGAAGACCAAACCCAGGGCCTGGCACAGGCTAGACAAATGCTCTGCTGCTGAGCCACACCCTTGGCTCTTATACAGTCTTATTAAACTGCATTTTTCCATTGAATTTGTATCTCTGGAGTTAGTTCTGTACAGAGTATGGAAGGATCTAATTTTACTTCTGTCTCCCATATGGTAAAGCAGTTATCCAAATGCACTTAACTGACGACTGTCCCCTTTCCCTGGATTTACGGCTAGCGCTTCCTCTGCCTCTATGAGGCTCCTAGCTGTACTGGCGGGACCTGACCTGTGCCCTTCATCCTGTCCTGTGGCTGGCTGTCTAACCTCAAGTGTTGTCACTGTTCATCACTGTCCTATGATAAGTCCTAACACCTAGCAGAGCAAGTCCCACCTCTCCACCCCCACTCCCTTGTTCCTCTTCAGAATGAACTTGGTCTTTCTTGGGTCCCTTATCTTCCATAGAAATTTTACATTTTGCAACATTACATACATATTTGATTGAGGCTTTTATTTAAAGGCATAATGCATCTTATTTCTTCCTCTGCTTTGAAGGGAGTTTGAGAGAAAAACAAACCACATCTGCCCTGGTTAGTCTTTGCTGTCAACTTGACAAAATACAGAGTCATCTTGGATGAAGGAATCCCAGTTGAATTTCCTTCATCAGGCTGGCCTGTGGACACATCTGTGAGGAATTGTCTTGATTGATGATTGATGTGGGAGGGCCCTGTCTACTGTAGGCAGCACCATCCCCAGGCAGGTGGACCTGAGCTGTGTAAGGAAGAAGCCTGAGTCTGACCGTGAGCCAGGGATCAAATCAGCAAGCAGTCTTCCTCCATGTCTTCTTCAGATCCTGCTTAAGTTCCTGCCTTGACTTCCCTCAACAGTGGATTGTGACCTGGAAGTGTAAACCAGATAAACCCTTTCCCTGCCTAAGGTGCTTTTGATCATGGTGTTTATCATAACAACAAAAAATAAACCAGGACAACATCTGTATTTAGTTTTTTGTTCTTTTGGGGCAGTGCTGAGATGGAACCCGGGGCCTCAAGCGTTGTAGACGAGAGCTCCCCCGCTGAGCCACATTCCAGCCCTCATCATTTTATCCTTAACACACTGAAAAACTGCATAGAGTAAAGCACATCTGTAATCCTAGAACTTGAGAGGAAGAGGCAGGGAGATTGCTTCAAGCTCAAAGCTATCCTGGTCTGTATAGTGAGTTCCAGACCAGCCAGGGCTACGTAGAAGACCCTTCTCAACCACAAAACTACTGAAAATTGTTTTGTACCTTCACCATCCAAGATGGCACAGCCACATGCAACTATTTAAATTCATATTAGTTAAAATTAAACGAATAACAAATGTTGTTCTTCGTGGCCACGTGTGTCCAATGGCTAACGTGACCTACACAGAAGGAGGGCATTCCCACTATTAGGGACATTCTGGGCTATATCACTGACACCATGACCGCTGGTTGGAGTTGGAGTTTCTAGATGAAGGAAATTGGCACAACGTAGGGCCCCTGACCACAGAACGTCTGGTTCCCTGACCATCCGATGTGGTCACTTTCTTTCTCTCTGTTGTTCCTGTGTGCTGAGCTCCCAGTCTAACACTAGAACTGGAAGCAGACTGTAGAACTGAGCCATCCCATTTGGGGCATCCATCCTAGAGAAATGAAATCCTTTCAAAAAGATGCTTCCACACCCATGTTGATCGCACTCCTGGTTCTAATAACTGTGCTATGGAATCGATTATGGAGTCCATTAACAGATGAATGGATTTTTAAAATGTGGATCTTCACAATGGAATTTATTCAACCAGAGAAGAATGAAATCCTGTCCCAGGACAGAATGGAGGTGGGAGGCATCATGTTAGTTGAAATGAACTAGGCCCA